GGCCGGCCGGCATGCAGGTGTCTATCGCGTGTACTGAGCAGAACCTTCGCAGCCGGAGCAGTGAGGACCGTCTGTGTGGACCCCGGCCGGGCCCCGGGGGCGGTAACGGTGGGCCGGTCGGTGGGGTGCATGGGAATCCTCCAGGAGGAGGGGGGTCGGGCCCCAAGGCCCGGGCCGCAGTGGTCCCCAGACCCCCAGCGCCCGCTGGGGCCCTCCGAGAGAGCACCGGCCGAGGCACTGGCATGAAATACAGGTATGGGGGTGGCCGGGCAGCCCACCCTATCTGCTCCCCTTTCCTGAGCCCCGAGGCTTCCTGGGATGCCCCAGGACCCCCTCAAACTTCGCTAAGAAGGTCCCGCCTCATTCCATCTCTTCTTCCCATCACCAGCACTCCCTGACTTGGTCCCTCTCTTGGTCTCCGTTGATACCCTTGACTAGGAAAAATTCAAGTTTACCAAGGTTGATCCGGTCCTGTCAGTCCCAGGGGATGATGCTCCTGAGCTTTTCTCCTTACCCCCAGGAAAGCCAGGGATGCATGGATCTCCAGGCTGTGCCCCCTCCCCCCAAGAGTGTCCTTGGGTCTGTGTCCTAGGAAGAGGGGGAAGGAAAGGGCTTCTCACTCTGGCCTGCTCAGGGTGCCTGACCCAGATACTGCCCTCACCGGCCCCATGGGCCCAGTCTCCTGCAACCTATCTTGGTGGGGACAGAAGTCCGAAGGATAGACCACATTTCTCAAGCCTATGCTGAGGAAAAGGGGTCAGGTGGGGAAGTGGGCTGTAATGTAACCAACTTTATCTCAGAGAAGAACTGCTGGGCTCTCAGAACTGGCATGGGGGGCAGGAGGGGCAGGGGAGGGGCTCCTGCTTGGGTGTGAGCAGAGATCACTGATCTGACCTGGCTTTGTCAGTTGAGGAATTTGATCCCTTCCATGTGGCAGTTCTGTTTAGGAAGCTGAGCTGATTACCTGAGTGGGGGCCTTGGGAGGAGGGGCTCTCTCTTTCAGAGACAGACTTCACAAACCCACAGGAGCAGAGGGAGTGGAGAGAGGAAGAGGGAGAACTGGCCTTTCCTGTCATACTCCCCACCTAGGTGTCCTACCTACTTTGTGGGAGGCCCATCTGCCTAGCCTATCAAGGGACCCCTGCCTGCCTGAGTGCCTGAATTCGACTTGGTTTACCCCTCCCACTCTGGTGTCTGCCCTTTAGCATAGCACTCTCTGTCTGAAGGTCTGTTTCCACAAACTCATCACAATCAGCCAGTCACATTTCTTTGGGGCCCCCAACTCCACACATGCCAGAGATGCCTCAAACACAGACAAAATCCCACCAGGAGCAACACAAACCAGCAGCACATCTTCAGTGTGATAGTAAGGAAGAGAGGCATTGGACAGTGTATCCAGAGGAAGTCATTTATTTGTTCACTTATGCTGTGGGCATAGCACTGCCCAGTTTGTAGCCTACTGGGTCTAGTTTCTTTGGACTGGACACCCTGAGGGCTTCTCATTCTGGAAGGAGAGGAGCTGGGAGCTGATAATCTATGTCCCTAATGGAGGCTCCACACCTTCCTGCTACTTCTGTCTCCTGCAGAAACCTAGGAAAGTCTGGTCTTCGTGTGTCCTGTCTTGGCCTAGGTGAGTTAGAAAAAAGGATTTAAGGGAAAGATGTTGGATTTAAGGGAAGGGTGTTCTTTCATGACTTGCCTCCCACAGTTCTCACGTGCCTGGCTTCTCTCTTGCAGGTACCTGGGTCACATTTGGTTCTCAGATCTCAGATGAGGTATAAGTGATGGGACCTAGAAGCAGGGTGAGGGGCTATGAGGGAACCAGAACAAGGGGAAAGGGGTTTGGACAAGCAGAGGGAATGGTGAATGGGACAAGCAGCTGGAGGAGGAGGAAAGGGGAGAGAATGTGGAAACCAAGGCTGAGGTGCTATGGGCCAGAGTGCAGTGAGGGAGGTAATTGAGGGGCTAGTTGTTGATCTTCAACTCTTTCTCTCACCTCCCTAGACAGCAGAGGATGTGCTGACAGTAGCCTATGAGCACGGTGTAAACCTGTTTGACACCACTGAAGTGTACGCAGCTGGAAAGTAAGGACTGGGGTGAAAGAGCTAATTTATATTTAGAAGCCTGAGAAGAACATCAGGGCTTCATGTTTTCCCTCTCAAGAACCCTGGGAATTTTGCCAACACTAAGTTCTAACCTTTCAGCCAGTGGGCCCTGAAACATTATGGGAATCACAGTCCCAAACATCAATCCCTCTCCAGCTTGGAGGGCAGTGGGCATACTGTGCAGTCAAAATAAAATAAAACCAACAAATACATCTTGGGCATCAGTTATGTGCAACTGTGTGGGGATTACAAAGCTAAATTTTCAAACACACCACGTCACATCACACACTCATGGCTTCACGCTGGGAGTAGCCAAAACCTACATTGGCCTACCCCTACCTCTTCTGTTCCACTCATCTTCAACACTTGGCCCAAACGTCTGCTCCTCCCAGAAGCCTTCACCTACTTCCCTGAAGTTGGTCACTAGCCCCCTCAATTCCCCAAACACTTTATACTGCCCTCTGACACACCATCATCAGTTACTGATTCATGTGGCCATATCTGCTGCTCAACTGGGATGCTCCTCCTCCCATGAAATTTGTCTTGCTTTCCCTCATGTCACCTAAATACCTACACAGAGCCCAGCACAAAGCAGGCACTGCTTTGTAGAATGACATCAGTATGCCCTCAAAAAGCTCACAGTCTAAGTGGTTAAACAAACCAACCAAAAAGACAGGGTGATACGAAAGACTGAATTAACAGTCCACCATAACTCAAGACTTGTCACATCTTAGCTCATGATTAAGTGCCAAAGAATTGTGTAGTCCAGTGATTTTCAACCTTTTTCATCTCATGGCACATAAACTAATTACCAAAATTCTGTGGCACTTCCAAAAATATATATTTTTTGCCATTCTGACAAAAAATATAGGTATAATTTTGATTCATTCACAGTGGATGGCCACTGTTATGTTGGCTGATGCCATTTTTTTATTTGACAATCTAAGGGAAATTACTTCAGCGCCCCTGACTAAATAGTCAGGTATTGCATGTTTTAAAAATCCTTGCAGCATACCAGTTGAAAAGCACTAGTGTAGCCAGTAAGAGCTATGGAAGCTGACAAGGACTGACCATAATCTATAGTAATAAGAAAACATTTTCTATTCTGCTCAGAGGCAGAATCTGAGCTAAGCTTTGAAGTATAGGTGGGATTTTGCAGAGACTCAAGGGAAGGGGGCACACAGATGGTTAGAACCAGTGTCTCCCTAGTCTGTTTCACTCCCTTCATCCTAGTCCTTCCCTTCAGAACTCAGAACAGAGCTTGGTGCAGTTGATGCACAGTTGATATTTGTTGAATGATTGAATGAAAACTATATGCACCCTTAGTTCCAGGAGCCTCTTTTATTTAGTCCAGAATGGGGCTGACAACCCAATTGTCTCCTGGTTTATGCTCCACTTTATGAGACGAAATTAGTTGAAGGGAAAAGTGGGGAAGAGGGGAAGGAACTGATCCACCTTGGAGGAGTCAGTGCTTCTATGTTGTCTTTCTTCCAGGGCTGAAAGAACCCTAGGCAACATCCTCAAGAGCAAAGGTTGGAGGTGAGACTGTGTTTTGGGGGTTGCTGGGGACATGATCATCAAAAATCTTTTTCTTGCCCGGCTGGTGTTGCTCAGTGGTTGAGCATCAACCTATGAACCAGGAGGTCATGGTTCGATTCCCAGTCAGGGCACATGCCCAGGTTTCAGGATCAATCCCCAGTAGGGGGTGTGCAGGAGGCCGGAGACTGATGTTTCTCTCTCCATGTTTCTGTCTCTCCCTCTTCCTTTCTCTCTCCCTAAAAATCAATTAAAACATTTTAAAAACGTGTGGGGTTTTTTGGTTTTTTTAAATAATTTTCTTGCTGGTTCTCCCATTTCTGTTTCCAGGAGATCAAGCTATGTCATCACCACCAAGATTTTTGGGGGAGGACAGTAAGTGGCTGCCCCACTATAAGTGGGGAGAAGATCTACAGAGGATGTGAAGGTGTATGGGATGGGGGTGGTGACAGCTGTCCCCATACCTGCTACCCCAGGTCTGCATCCCACCTGTGAGAAGCATGCAATCCCAGTTCCTCATGGTGCCAGGCCAGCCCTGGTCTCCTATCTTTGTCACACCTCATCTTTGACTTACCTTTTCCTATAGGGCAGAAACTGAGCGAGGCTTGAGCCGCAAACACATCATCGAGGGTGAGAGTTAGAGGCTGGGAACCTGAAGTGGCTTGGTATGGAGCCCAGAGGAGTTGGGAACATTCTCTGAAGCTCTTGAATTAGAGGCTTTGAATAGGGGAACTGGGATTTAGGCAGCCATGGCAAAGGGGTAAGATCTGAATTCTTCAGAAACTGAAACTGAGGTGCTTACCTTCCTCTCCTCATCCCTATCCCAGGCTTGCGAGGATCTCTGGAACGCCTCCAGCTGGGATATGTGGACATCGTCTTTGCTAATCGCTCAGACCCCAACAGTCCCATGGAGGGTAAAAGCAGCATCCCAACCCTTGAGAGACCTTCAAAACTGAGCACTTCTCAAACCCTCGATAGGAAGCCAGTCCTTGCTCAGGCCTCCCAAGCTCCACAATGGAGGCTCAGACCCCAGGACTTGGACAAGGAGGGAGGCAAAGAGCTGAAACCAACCTCTCTGATTCCACAGAGATGCCTGGGGTCTTGGTAGGGTAGGCAGATATATGCAGATCTGGAGTCCTGGATGCCAGGGATCTGACAGTAAGGCTCTCCCTCTCCCATATGCCTAGAGATTGTGCGAGCCATGACCTATGTCATCAACCAGGGCCTGGCCCTATACTGGGGGACATCCCGATGGGGAGCTGCAGAAATCATGGTGAGTATGCTACCCCACTTCCCCCTGTTCCACAACTGGTTCCCACTTTTCACATGGCCACTCCAAATGCTACTCTATTGGAGGAGGAGTGGAAGAAAATGCAAGGAGTGTTCTGATCCCCATCTCTTCCCCACCCCCACCCCGCTCTTCCCCATCTCACTCAGGAAGCCTACTCTATGGCCAGACAGTTCAATCTGATCCCTCCAGTGTGTGAACAAGCAGAGCACCATCTGTTTCAGAGAGAGAAGGTGGAGATGCAGCTACCAGAGCTCTACCACAAGATTGGTTTGCAGCCCTCTCATCCCTACCTTTCCCTTGGGCTCACCATCACCTTGATTCCTTTCCCCACGTCCAATCCTCTTCCTCTTAGGTGTTGGCTCAGTTACCTGGTCCCCTCTGGCCTGTGGCCTCATCACTAGCAAGTATGATGGGCGAGTCCCAGATCCCTGCAGGGCCACCATCAAGGTTTGATCTCCGGGCTCAGGATGGCAGGACTGGGCTATTTTGGCTTTTCTGGGGTGGTGGTGGGGTCTTTTGCTGATTCTCTTTGGTCTCCAGGGCTACCAGTGGCTCAAGGACAAAGGGCAGAGTGAGGAAGGCAAGAAGCAACAAGCCAAAGTCATGGACCTTCTCCCCATTGCTCACCAGCTGGGCTGCACTGTGGCACAGCTTGCTATTGGTGAGGCACTGCCAATCCTGGACCCTGCAGGGGCCTCCTCTCCTCCTGAGAAACTCCCAAACCCAACTGGTTTGTCCTTAGGGAGGATGCTCTTCCTCAGAGACGCTTCTGAAGTCCATATGCTCACTACTATCCATCAGTTCTCTTGTTTTCCTCCTCTGGCCCCAGCGTGGTGTCTCCGCAGTGAGGGTGTCAGTTCAGTCTTGCTGGGGGTGTCGAGTGCAGAGCAGCTGATTGAACATCTGGGCGCGCTACAGGTGAGCTGGAGAATCAGAGGCAGAGCCCATCTCTGTCCCCTCCCCAGGAGTCAAGGCCTCATTGTCCAACCCAGAATGGGCCTGTGAAGTCACTCACTACAAAGTCCTCACTTTGCAGATGAGAGGTCCCAGGGTGACAAGGCAAAACGGGCACAGCTGTGACTCTTTCCCTGGCACTTGGCCCTCTGTGCTGCTCCCCTGCGTCCTCTAAGGTCATGCCCTCAAACTTCATGCCCTTCTTCAGTGACCCAACCATCCCATTCTCCTCCAGGTGCTGAGCCAGCTGACCCCGCAGACGGTTATGGAGATAGACGGGCTTCTGGGGAACAAACCACATTCCAAGAAATAGTCCGTCGGGGGGCGCAGCGAGCCAAACCCGGGGCCGCTGCACCCCTGCCCACCCAGAACTGCTTCCCCGCAGCCGAATCCCTCCTGCTCCAGGTCCCTCCACGCAGCGGCCAGAGCCAGAGAAGCCCCGCCCACTAACGAGTTCCGGCTTCGAAAATCGACTCGCATGAACAAAGCCATATCCTTCCGCAGTGGAGCTTGAGAGGAAAAGTAGTCCGCTGCTCCCTGCTGCGTTCTCCTAGGCCTTTTTGCTAATCCCAGGCATGAGCTACTGAGCCGTCCCCACTGCCATTTGGTCTCGCTCCCTTCTCTCTTATCTCAATAGCTGAGGCCCATTAAAAAAAGCTAAATGGAAGACATAAGAGAGGCAGAGTACCTCAAATGTGGCCCTTGAAATGTCATCAAGGGGTAATAACCTAATAAGTGAGTGTGATTTCATCTGGGACAAAGGAAAATGTTGTGCGATACAAAGGAAGCCAGGCTGGCCCTGGCAGGAAGTAAATGATAATCTTTGGGAAACCAGGACCCTGCCACCCTGCCAGGAAATGAAGGAGGGCTTAAAACTAGAATTAAAGTTAATACGCTGTTTCTGACAAAAGTGGAGGGAAATTTGATGGCAGATGTATAAGCTTGGCCAAGGTAGCCCTTAGAAAAGAGTTGGGCTGTGCTTTGCAGGAAATAGTGACAGGCTTTAGGTCACAGCAGAGATATGGGGCTGACATAAAAAGCTCTGGGGATAGACTTTTGAGCCTTGAGTGGGACTTCCTACCCAGCAGAGGAGGACTGGTCTTTGTTCTGGCAAAAATCTTAAAGCAATAATGATGGCCCTTGTGTAAGACTTTCCAGGGGATTGTAAATAAAATCTTAATCCTTCTCACGCACTGTGTCTGAAATTGCAGACGATGGGAGGTTAGGGTTTCAGTCTCAGATATCTGGCCTTCTAGCACCCTTCCATTAGAAAGCTCCAGTACTAGCTTTCTCTCCATTGCTCATTCACCTCAGAGACCCAAGCATTGTGCTCCTAGGCATCATTCTCATCAAGGACCCAGCACCAAACTACTCGGGCCCCAGTTTTCTTCCTTTTTCCAGTTGCCACATTCCTTAGAACCCAGAGAGATCTGACTTCATGGTCTTTTTCCTCCCTCTGACACCACTGCCCTTGTTTTGTTTTGAACTTATATTAGCCACACTCTGGTCTTATACTTCTTTATTTCACTCTTGGCTGATACCCACACATATGCCAAGGGACTATACTGGGGGTTTTCTTGTGGCTCAGTGGGATGGGCTGTTCTGAGGTTGAGGCATTGGGATTTGGTGAAGGAGAGGTAAAATGAAACCTGGTCCATGGTTGAGATGATACAGAGAAAGGGAAAAGAGTATCATTATAAAGGTAAGAAGAAAACAAGTGAAAGATCAAGTGTGAGGATGGCAGAAAAGCAGAATCAAATGGGATTATGTCAGATACCGCCCCTTAGTCTTCCCCAAAGGACTCTGATTTCCCTGAGACAGAAAGTGGGTGGAAAGTTACAACCTTTAAAGATCACGAGGCAGGGAAGAAGCGGTCTGCCTTCCTTAAAATACAATCTTGCCCTGGCTGGGTAGCTCAGTTGGTTGGAGCATCATCCGGCACACCAGAAAGGTTGCAGGTTTGAGTCCCCGTGAGGGCACATAACTAGGTTATGGGGTCAGTCCCCAGTTGGGGGACATACAGGAGGCAACTGATCAATGTTTCTCTCTCTCTCTCCCTGCCTCTTACTCTAAAAATCAATGAAAACATATCCTCAGGTGAGGATTAAAAAAATAATTATAACCTCACCATCTCCCTGCTACCCATCCTCACCCTTGATCCTGAAGCTGAGAGAGCAGAGAAAAATCAATTTCCAAAACAGAAAAAGCAGCCCAGCAGCCGTGGCTCAGCAGTTGAGCACTGACCTAGCATCCAGGAGATAGTGGTTCACTTCCCAGTCAGGGCACATGCCTGGGTTGCAGGCTCCATCCCCAGTTGGGGGTGTGGAGGAGGCAGCCAATCAATGACTCATCATTCATGTTTTTTTTTCTCTCTCTCTCCCTGTCCCTTCCTCTCTCTGAAGTCAATAAAGATATATTTAAAAAAACAAAAAAGAAAAAGTAGCATGACACTTTCTGGATTAGCAACCAACCAGATCAACTAATGAATACTTATATCCCACTCCTATCATCTTGCACTCATTTTGGAAGACTGTAGAGGGAAAAAAAAGTAAAATGTATGACTAAACTATGATTAGTTATTCTGTAACAAACATACATGAATTTATAAATTCAAATAGTCCTCTCTTACATAATTACTTTGGAGGGTTATGCATTTATTTTAACAATGCCTCCCCCATTGCTCAAAACACTTAAAAAACTCCTTATAATTACCTTCAGAGGCAATTTAGAAACCCCTTGTAAGAAACCTTACTTTATTGTCATACCTTATTTACTACATTCATTTATTTTTTTAAAATATGCTTTTTATTGATTTTAGAGAGGGAGAGAGAGAGAAAACATTGGTTACCTCAGGTACACATCTCAGGGACCGAGCTGCAACCTGGGCATGTGCCCTGACGGGGAATCAAACTGGCGACCTTTCAGTGCATGGCGCAATGCTCAAGCAACTGAGCCACAGTGGACAGGGAACCTCATCCATTAATTTAACAGAGATTTACTGAGTCCTACTATGGGATACAATGGTGAACAAAACCAGACTCAGAATGACCTTTGTGGAACTTACAAATGGGCAAAACAAACAACACTCAAACAGAGACTTTAGTTGTCCAAAGGCCAGAGGAAAGCCTGCAATGAGAGCTGACAGGCGAGTAGGTGTTACGAAGGTGAAAGCAAGAGGGCTGGGGAACAGCATACAAGAAAGCCTTGTAGCAGAAAAGAACATACAAGCCAAAGATCTCCAAAGCCAGAGTGTCTAAAAAGGGAATGGAAGCAGAGCGTGAGACATGGGTGGGTTCAGAACATACAGGGCCTTATAGGGCACTTTAGAATATTATCTTTATCTTAAGGACAGTAGGAAGCCTAGATCAGTTATCTATTGATATACTTCCAAAATTTAGTGGTTTGAAACAACTTCTAAGCACAAACTTCTTCATCATTCTTTTCATAATTCTGTGGGCTGGCTATGGGTTTCCTCTGCTGTGTTCATCTAAGCTCACTCATGTGGCTGAATTCAACTGTCAGGTTGGCTGAGCCAGAAAATCCAAGATGGTCTCATTGGTACATCTGGTTCTTAGTGCTGGCTGTTGGCTGGGGCTCCTCAGTTCTCCTTCATGTGGCCTCATCCACCACTGGTTTAAATTTCCTTATTTGGCGGTCTCAGGGAAATATTGCAAAGGGACAAAGGCAGAAACTACAAGGTCTCTGAAGGACTATGCTCCAGAATTCATCACTTCTGCCACATTCTATCAGTCAAGCAGGTCATGAAGCAAGCCCAGATTCAAGGGATAGGGAAATAGATCCCAATTCCTTCTCCTCAATGAGTGAAGCAGCAAAGTCACATTGCAAAGGAATTGGGAGCTCCTAAACTACCATCACATTAAAAGGTTTTTTTTTGTTGTTTTTTTAAATCCTCACTAGAGGATTTTTTTTTTTTCCATTGCTTTTCAGAGAGTGGAAGGAAGAGAGGAGAGAGAAACATCAATGTGAGAGAGACACATCAATTGGTTGCCTCCCGCACGAACCCCGACCAGGGCCAGAATCGAACCTGGGACACCCTTCAGTCTGTGGGTGGACACTCTAATCACTGAGCCAAACCAGCTAGGGCCACATTAAAAGGTTTGAAACGCAGTGCAAGCGGTGTGTGGTAGGACATGATTGAATTTGAGACATAGGAAGATCACTCTAAGCAGTGTGGAGAAAAGCTTGCAGAAGGCCAGAATGGCTGTGGACTGGCTGGTTAAGAGGCTCTTACCAGGGTCTAAGTAAGAGATGATGGCAGCTTGGACTAGGGTGGTGTACTAGAGATGGAGAAGAGTAGGTGGATTAGAGGGATATTTAGGAGACAAAGTGAACTGGGCGTGGTGATGTCAGTAAAGGAAGATGAAAATGAAGGAGGGGTCAAGGATGGCACCTAGGTTTCTGGAGTTGGATAAAGAAAGAAGTAGGAAACACTGGAAGAAATGCTGATTTGGACAAGGAGATCATCAGTTTGGATTTTTGAAGATAAATAAGAAAGAAAGTCAAGCAAGTGACTGGATATCGAGGTCTGAATTACAGAGGCTTTAACTGTGAAACACTTTGGGAGCATTTATATAATCAAATCTACCTTAAAAGTTTAAGATTTAATCACCAACTGGAGATATTAAAAGATGTGAGACCCCTGAACACCATTCCAAAGAGAAGTTCCAAAACAGTTTTGAATTATGACAACATCATTGAAATAAGTAGCTAGCTTCCCCCAAGTGACCATGAGGACAATACAACTCAGAAGTTCTGAAATGTTTGCTTAAAAATAATGGTATAGTATACCTCCTCACCAAGATTACCCTCTAAGGTTTTAACTAGTTAAAAAGCAAAACCAACTCTATATTGCCTATTCTGCCAGTTAAATGCCATGGGTGTAGAGAAGCCCATCTCGTATTGACCAAGAGAGATGGGGGTTGATAATGCTGTGTAGTGAGAAGTTAAAATGAATACAACATAGGCTGGGGGCACAGGATAATTATAGCTAATATATGGTGTTTACTTTGTGCCAGGCACCGTTCTAAGCACTTTACATATATAAGCTCATTCAATCCTATTATTATCCACATTTTACAGAGGAGGAAACCAAGGCCCAGAGAAGTTAAGTAACTTGCTCAGTGTCACAACTAGTAAATGGTGGTGGCTGGGATATGAACTTAAGCCAGCTGGATCTATATATTAACCCCCACACCAGAACCTGGATTGCAGGTCCAGAAGAGGAGGGTGAGGAGGCAGCTGGGGATGGGTGTGGCACCACGAGGGAATGTGGGCTGTGAGTATTATGTCCTGTTTACCTGTGAGGGAAGTCAGACCCCTGAGTCAGAACTCATTCTGGGCTGCTTTGCTGGGGCCATCATTGTGTGTGGGTGTCCAGGCCTGGCTACTCCGGAAGGAAAGGATTCCCAGGATTCCTAAGGCCATGGTCCTGAAATCTATAAGTCCCTCCTAAGGCTGAGATGTCAGTTGGTAGTTGAGCAGTTTGAGAAGGAAATTTGGGAAGCCAGCCTTACAAAAACACGGGGCAGAGGGGTGGGGGTCATATATACTAAGCAGAGTTGTGGGCAGAATGAGAGTTACTGCCAGGCAGCGTCCATTCAAACACGCAGGAGCCCACGAAAGACTTGGCAGAATGGGCACTGTCACTGGCTGAGGAAGTTTGGATGGGGCTGTGTGACCAACTGAACGAACAGGTCCAAGGGACTGTAAAGATCTGTGCCGGTGGCTGAGGTGGGGCACAAGAAGGGGACCGGGGATTTGCACCTCCATATAATGGAGGAGCGCGGGCTTTGTGCTGAGGGATGAAGGAATGGGTGGAGGGAGTAGAGGGCTGTGTGCCTCTGATCGCTGCAGTCCTGGCACTACCAGGGCCTCCTACCCCCCTCCCCCCCAGCTCAGCCAGTGTTGACATTCCCGGCCTTCGGCTTCCACCGCCCCCACGCGTGCCGCCGCGGGGAGCGGCCTGACCACTGCGTGACGACTCGAGGGGCGGGGTCTCATTATTAAAAGGGGCGAGAGGCCGCGGCGCCCGCCCCAAGACCCGACCCGGGTCCCAGGGAGCAGCAGTTTGTTCTGCGGACAGCGTTGGCCGCGTTCGAGTCTGCGGCGGGCACCATGCAGCTCCTGGCGAAGGTGCCGTCTCTTCCGGAGCTGGGAGAGCTGGACTGCGACATCTGCTACCGGCCCTTCAACCTCGGGGGCCGCGCGCCGCGCCGCTTGCCCGGAACGGCACGCGCCCGCTGCGGCCACACGCTCTGC